CTAAATACTATCAGGACCGTGATGAGTATTGTAGCAATTGAAGATCTTCATCTCGAGCATTTAGACGTGAAGACGGCGTTTCTTCACGGAGACCTAGAAGAGGAGATATACATGCACCAGCCAGAAGGTTTCTCAGAAGAAAAGAAGAACCTGGTGTGCAAACTCAAGAAAAGCTTGTATGGCCTGAAACAAGCCCCAAGGCAGTGTTATAAGAAGTTTGACGGCTTCATGCATAAGGAAGGTTTCCAGAAGTACAACGCCGACCACTGTTGCTACTTTAAAAGATATCAGTCCAGTTATATCATCCTACTGCTGTATGTTGATGATATGTTGGTTGCAGGAGCAGATATGGAGGATATCAGGAGTTTGAAGCAGCAGCTGTCAAAAGAGTTTGACATGAAGGACTTGGGTCCAGCGAAGAAGATCCTTGGAATGCAAATCACGAGAGATAAGAAGAGAGGTCTCTTGCAGTTATCTCAGACGGAGTACATCAACCAGTGAGCACCCCCTTGCCCAGCCATTTTCGTCTATCAAAGGATCAGTCTCCTCAGTCAGAAGAAGAGAAAGAGAGTATGGCTCAGGTCCCTTACGCCTCAGCCATCGGAAGCTTGATGTACACTATGGTCTGTACAAGACCAGACATTGGTCATGCAGTGGGAGTGGTCAGCCGGTTTATGTCGAATCCAGGAAAAGCTCATTGGGAAGCGATCAAGTGGATTCTGAGGTATCTACGAGGCACCACACAAAAGTGTTTGTACTTTGGTAAGGGAGAGGTAGAAGTGCACGGGTACGTAGATGCAGACTTTGGAGGTGAAGTCGATCACCGAAGAAGCACCACCGGCTATGTATTCACTGTCGGAACTACAGCTGTTAGTTAGATGTCACAGATACAGAAGATTGTCACTCTGTCTACTACAGAAGCTGAGTATGTTGCAATGACTGAAGCCAGTAAAGAGATGATATGGCTTCGGGGTTTGTTAACAGAGCTGGGATTCAAACAGGAGAAGAATGTTTTGCATAGCGATAGTCAGAGTGCGATTCACTTGGCTAAGAATTCCGTATTTCATTCTAGAACGAAGCATATTGCGCTTCGGTACCACTTCATCAGATTCTTGTTGGAAGATGACGTGTTGAAACTGGGGAAGATTCCAGGAAGTAAGAATCCAGCAGATATGTTAACAAAGACGGTGACCGTTCAGAAACTGGAGTTGTGCTCAACTTCAGTTGGCCTTCATGCATAGATGATGAGGGCGGAGCCACACAGGAGGGGAGCTTGATGAGATAGCCTGTTGACGTCGGTTTGATCTCCAAGTGGGAGATTGTTGGAACGGGGTGTAGATCAAAGCTCAATTCAGACGATGAGCTCCGGCGAGCTCGAGGGATGACGCAGGCGAGCGTGGACGTCGACTCAGGCGAAGTCGACGGCGAACTCCAGGCACAGTTTCAGGTGAAGCTCGAGCAGGCGAGCTCGAATCTTGGCGTTCCCGACCACGGCGTGTGAGCATTGCGACCTTGGCGTTTCTGATTCCGACCCTCGCGTTTTTGGCGCTCCGACCCTCGCGTCTTGGCATTCCGACCCTCGCGTCGAGCTTGTGCGCTCGCGTGGCTGGCGACCGGCTGTCGTGTTCGCCTATAAAAGCAGCCCCCCCTCGATGCCCTAGGGTTTGCTTTGTTCCCCCCGATCTTTCTCTGGCGGCGGACAAAAACGCAGCAACGTTTTTCTTCATCATCTCCAGCCTTGAAATCGCAGCAGCGATTTTAGTTCCAATCTCTAGCTCTCAACCGCGTTTTTGAGGGGAGATTAAGAAAAGGATTTAAGAAGAGAGAGAGAATTAAAGATGGGATTTATTGTGGGATATTCTTTATTCTCAAAAGAGAATTGAAATGGATTATTCCCTTTAATTATTAACACTGTAGCTACAGTGTTTATATTGAGAGGTCTCAGTTTGGGATCTGCTCTTGAATTGTAATTTCTTGTTAATTAATAAGAAATTGACTGTGTGGCTCCCGAGAACGTAGGCAGTTGCCGAACCTCGTAAATCTTGTGTACTTTTCTCTATATCGCATTTCTGTTGTTTTAGGGGTGTTGCATAGCCCCAGAGGGTAGTATTCCCAACACTCACTACCAGTCATTTCGGTGCAGAGCAAAGAGCTCATAAGTCAACGACTTGACAACTCATTTTACAAAATGGGTTACCAGCAGAGGCGTAGCTATGTTGAACTTGCCCTGGGCAGCTGCCCAGGGCAAGAAAATGATTTTTTTATATGTTCAATGTTTCAATTTTTTTGACCACGTATCAGCCGATTCAGCCCCACCCCTTTTATTTCTCCCGACTCCCCCAAATCCCAATATTTCGAAGCGAAGCGCAGAGAATAGAAAAGGGGTTGGCCAAAAAAAAGCTAGGGCTTCGAGCCTTCGAGTCTCCGACGACCGCCCCCACTCTCCGAGACTCCGACGACCGCAAATCCCCTCTCTGAGACTCCGTCGACGACCGCAAATCCCCTCTCCGAGAAGGCTTCGACGATCGCAAATCCCCTCTCCGAAGACTCCGTCGACGACCGCGGACCGCCCCCACTCTCCGAGACTCCGACGACCGCCCCCAGTCGCCTCCCAGAGCAAGCCCTCAACCAGTCGACCGTTCGACGCTGATCCCAAGCTCTCCGACGAGTGACGACGACCGCCCTGAGTCCACGACCAAGTCCTCGCCGGAATCGACATTTGTGCGCGGGACACTATGGGGTAAAATTTTGGTAAGCCAAGTATTATACCACATTACCACTCTCTTTTATAAAAGTCGGTTAATTCAATCTAAGCTCAAGCTATATATTTAAAAAAAAATGTTTTTGCAGGATCATGTGAATGATATTGACATTGTTTATAATAGAGTATGCAAGGCAGAGGTTTCAACAATACTGGTTGAAGAAGTTTGATGACCTGGATTGCACAACGTTTTAGGCTCGACCTCGACTGGTACGCCCTCCTCCAGCTCCCTCACCCTCATGTTAGTTCTATGACACTTCCTGTTGGTTCTGTGGTGTTTCATGTTAGTTCTGTCTTCTTTTTAGTTAGTTCTGTATCTGTTAATTCTGTTGTTAATTCTATTTATGCATGTTAGTTTTTTTAATATCCTAATCACAATCTATTAAATTTTGAAGCTAAAATGTCTGGAAAGGGAATGAAAACTTTATTTTCATTTTATTCCAAAAAAGACATTACTGGAGCCTCAAGCGAGGCACCGTCTACGGAGCCAACGGTTGATGATAAAGAGGAAGAGCAACATCCTCCTAAAATTCAAAAGGTCAAGGATATCGTATCTTATGATCCAGGACTGCGTCAGGCAATATGGAAATATCCATATAAAGAACAAGATGAGGTTCGGCGTCGTTACATAGCAATAGGGCCATGCCAACAAGATGAGGCATTTTCAGCAATGAAACTCATAAAAACATCATTGCGCAACAAGATGGGTGATGAAATGCTTGCTAATAACATGATACTTTATATTGAAAAAGAAATTACCTCCAGCCTCGACACAGAAGAAATAGTAGAGGAGTTTGATTCACGACATACTCGTAGAGCTCGACTTAGATAGATACTTTTGTTTAATTTTTGTATCTCATATTTTGAATGTGTATGATACAACTTTGTCTTTTTTATCAATATCTAATCAAAGCACTCTTAGTTTGTTTAATTTTTTTTGCTTTGGAGAATTTTCGCCCAGGGCAAACAAAATTCCTGGCTACGCCACTGGTTACCAGCCTATATTATATGTGGTGCCCTCGTATCTTTATAGTTTTAAACATCTTTTTATCATCATGCTTACATTAGAGAACATCGATTTTTATTTTTTATTTCAAGACCAAAGATAACGTCAGGCTGTAATCATCTTTCTACGCTACAAGCATGCTTGCCAACAATGCGCAGCCGTTAGCTGTTTGCTCTCCCCCAAATTATCCGCGCAGTCTAGCTTCGATCGTTTACCAACATTAATTCAAGGATATATTTCTGGCTTGGGAATTAAACAATTTAACTAATATAAGTATTGACTTTGATGAAGCCAAATACACGCCGAATGGAGTTCTTATTAATTATCAAAGAGCATTGCCCAAGATTAGTCAGAACGCAATCATATAAAAATGCATGAAATTTGTAAGGTATTTTTCTATCTAGAATAAAGTAAGTGGTTGGTTCTCTCAAAGATGCACCTGTTTCTTTGGAACACAACCTGTTGCTTTCCCAGGTAGTCAGCTGCAAATTATATATTATCCTGTACTTGCTTGTAACTTGGAGATGCGAACTAAGATGCAAAAGAATTATTTTCATTGCATCTGGTCTCTATCGATTATACTATTCAATGGCTAATTGCAGCCGGTTGCTTCTTCTAGTGACTTCTCATAATCAATCTAACTCTAAATGTTATTCATATTTGTAATAAACTCATGGTAATTCTTAACCTAAAGAAGATATATACTCAAATTATTACCCTTCAACTTTAATCCAAAAAAACTTCTTCAATTTACACAAAAAACCTTGGGTAATTATCATGAAACCCCCTTCATGTTTGACCGTTTGTTATGAACCCCCTTAACGTTATTTTTTTCACTACACCATTCCCTGCTGTTTTAAAAGAAAGAAAAAAAAAATTCATTTAACTTTTAACATTTCCCCCCTAAAAATACCCCTCAATAAAGCTGCTGCTTCCTCAAACTACTGCAAAACATATCTCCGCTCTTTACATGAAAAACCCAAGAAAACATGACCATTAACAAAGAAGAAAATTTTAGTAGAAGGTCAAGGTAATCTCTTCAACCTTTTGATTTTAACCTCTATTTGGTACAACTTTCAATTCCTAATCTCTGTCTTGTCCTTGGGAGAAAGGAAAACGTGTTGAGAGGAAGAAGAGTGTAATTTTAAAATATAAATGGGTTTTACTACCATTCTTTCAAACAGCAAGGTGTTATATAAATTAGCTTGAAAACTGATATTATGCCAACAACTATATCAAGAAAGTCACACCTGACAAACTTTATTAACAATGGAGGATAAAACCATTTACAAGAACAGTATCATTCTCATCAGAGATATAATTTAAATACCCCCAAACAATCCAAAAGATAAACAAGCAATGTAAGCTTGAACCACCAATAAATTCCAAGACAAAGTCCATGTAAAGAAAGCCACTGTATAAGCTCCTCAAATGACAATAACCAAGGAAAAGAAAAGAGAAAATTAGGGTTCATACTTCAAAAGAATCAGGAGTTACCGCCCTTTACTCGAAAAGAACATAGGACAGCACCGAACTTTCTCGTCCTCAGCAATCATACCACGTCCTTTATCGGTATCAATTGCCTCCAAAAGCTTCACAACCTCGTCCATATCGGGTCTTTTATCCGGATTTGCATCCCAACATCTTCGCATAATGTTTGCCAGAGCACTTGGACAGCATCTCGGAATATCTGGTCTTAGATTCTGTCATGTAATGACAGCAGAAGTAAAATAAAAATGTTATGGTCTTTCTTGTCAAATCTGGAATTCGATGGAGGACAAGATTCAGTGATTCACTAACCTGACGGACAACAGCAGAAGAAACATCAGCAAAACTGAGGTCGGGATATGGCATGTCACAGCAGTAGATCTCCCATAAGCAAATGCCAAAGCTGTACACGTCGCACTTTCTATTGTATGGCTTGCCATCGAGAACCTGATCATTATATGTGAAGAGACCATTAAAAAACCTTATGCAACAAGAGGAATTCATTCCATTTCGTAGGAAGATAAAGTTGATTTCTAAAAGGGAATATTGGATATGAGTTGCTAACTCATTTACCAAAACGAGGGGAAAAAATCCTATAGCAGTCCCTCTATAGAAAGTCATATCGTGAGGAAGGAGATCAACAAGTGGGCATCACAAATTTTAAAGTTGGTGATTGCACTGGTAAGCATTATGATTGTGATGATACAGTATTGGTGATTGCATTCATACATAATTGTGATTCCACTTATACCGATTGCACTGATTTATAATCCATAGTGAAAAGGTATCAAGATCTCCTTCCTTCCTCACTATTCAATTTCTATAAAGAGCCCTCTATCAGAGTGTGAGGTCCACCTGATCCGCTATGACTCGCAGGATGGTCTCACCACTAGTCAGTCCCTTGGTAGCTCAAAATGAGCTGCCACCTCATACGTATTTTTTCCCTTTCTAAAATCATTATAGAAATCCAAAAAATCAAAGACTAAAAGAGCCCTCTATCAGAGTGTGAGGTCCACCTGATCCGCTATGACTCGCAGGATGGTCTCACCACTAGTCAGTCCCTTGGTAGCTCAAAATGAGCTGCCACCTCATACGTATTTTTTCCCTTTCTAAAATCATTATAGAAATCCAAAAAATCAAAGACTATGAAACCCCCTTCATGTTTGACCGTTTGTTATGAACCCCCTTAACGTTATTTTTTTCACTACACCATTCCCTGCTGTTTTAAAAGAAAGAAAAAAAAAATTCATTTAACTTTTAACATTTCCCCCCTAAAAATACCCCTCAATAAAGCTGCTGCTTCCTCAAACTACTGCAAAACATATCTCCGCTCTTTACATGAAAAACCCAAGAAAACATGACCATTAACAAAGAAGAAAATTTTAGTAGAAGGTCAAGGTAATCTCTTCAACCTTTTGATTTTAACCTCTATTTGGTACAACTTTCAATTCCTAATCTCTGTCTTGTCCTTGGGAGAAAGGAAAACGTGTTGAGAGGAAGAAGAGTGTAATTTTAAAATATAAATGGGTTTTACTACCATTCTTTCAAACAGCAAGGTGTTATATAAATTAGCTTGAAAACTGATATTATGCCAACAACTATATCAAGAAAGTCACACCTGACAAACTTTATTAACAATGGAGGATAAAACCATTTACAAGAACAGTATCATTCTCATCAGAGATATAATTTAAATACCCCCAAACAATCCAAAAGATAAACAAGCAATGTAAGCTTGAACCACCAATAAATTCCAAGACAAAGTCCATGTAAAGAAAGCCACTGTATAAGCTCCTCAAATGACAATAACCAAGGAAAAGAAAAGAGAAAATTAGGGTTCATACTTCAAAAGAATCAGGAGTTACCGCCCTTTACTCGAAAAGAACATAGGACAGCACCGAACTTTCTCGTCCTCAGCAATCATACCACGTCCTTTATCGGTATCAATTGCCTCCAAAAGCTTCACAACCTCGTCCATATCGGGTCTTTTATCCGGATTTGCATCCCAACATCTTCGCATAATGTTTGCCAGAGCACTTGGACAGCATCTCGGAATATCTGGTCTTAGATTCTGTCATGTAATGACAGCAGAAGTAAAATAAAAATGTTATGGTCTTTCTTGTCAAATCTGGAATTCGATGGAGGACAAGATTCAGTGATTCACTAACCTGACGGACAACAGCAGAAGAAACATCAGCAAAACTGAGGTCGGGATATGGCATGTCACAGCAGTAGATCTCCCATAAGCAAATGCCAAAGCTGTACACGTCGCACTTTCTATTGTATGGCTTGCCATCGAGAACCTGATCATTATATGTGAAGAGACCATTAAAAAACCTTATGCAACAAGAGGAATTCATTCCATTTCGTAGGAAGATAAAGTTGATTTCTAAAAGGGAATATTGGATATGAGTTGCTAACTCATTTACCAAAACGAGGGGAAAAAATCCTATAGCAGTCCCTCTATAGAAAGTCATATCGTGAGGAAGGAGATCAACAAGTGGGCATCACAAATTTTAAAGTTGGTGATTGCACTGGTAAGCATTATGATTGTGATGATACAGTATTGGTGATTGCATTCATACATAATTGTGATTCCACTTATACCGATTGCACTGATTTATAATCCATAGTGAAAAGGTATCAAGATCTCCTTCCTTCCTCACTATTCAATTTCTATAAAGAGCCCTCTATCAGAGTGTGAGGTCCACCTGATCCGCTATGACTCGCTATCTACTGAAACAATATATTATCTTTAGAAAATTTGTGAGATAAGTACCTCAGGAGCCATGTAACCAAGGGTCCCAGTTTCACCAGTCATATCCTTAGGATTTTGAGCCTCAACACGAGCAACTCCAAAGTCAGCAATCTTCAGGGTTCTATTAGGATAATCAAGCATATCTACTGAAACAATATATTATCTTTAGAAAATTTGTGAGATAAGTACCTCAGGAGCCATGTAACCAAGGGTCCCAGTTTCACCAGTCATATCCTTAGGATTTTGAGCCTCAACACGAGCAACTCCAAAGTCAGCAATCTTCAGGGTTCTATTAGGATAATCAAGCAACATGTTTTCAGTTTTGACATCCCGATGAACAATTTTTCTTGAGTGGAGATAACTCAACCTACATTAAGAGGAAACAATAAATCCAAATCCTTTGTTTTATAAGTAGATAGCAATTTAAACCAATCCTCGTAGTTAATTGTATCACTAACCCTCTGGCTAAATCCAATGCCAACTGAATCACGTTCTTATAGGTAAGTTTCTTTCGCCTGTTCTTTATCAAATACTTTTTCAATGTTCCCCCAGTAAGATATTCCACAACAACACAACATGCTCGAGCTGGGAGGTGATTCTGACCGTCGCTTGTGGGATGCTTCATTGGAATCTTAAGATCTGTTGTTCCCATTGATGCACCAACAAACTGTAATAAATAAGAGAACTTGGATCTCAATTTTCACCATTTTAGACCAAAACACACATTGGAGCATTATTTTAAATTTAAAAAAAAACTCACATATTAGAAAATAACACTCAAGAATAGTAAAGAATGGAATCGCAGTCTAAAAGAACATTTTAACTTAAGGCTGAAGTATGCAACCGATAAGCGCTAATGTGATTAAGATTAAGTTAAATTGCAGATAAACCCCTCTATACACCTTCAGTTACACTAAACCCACCTCAACGCATTTACTAGCGGTTGGCACACTTGAAATGTCATTTCTAGAAAGATGGATTGCAAGTAACATCCTTCTTCCTCAGGAGCTGAGGGGGACTAAGTGCTAATAAATTTGCGATGGGGGTTTAGTGCGACTGAAGGTATAGATGAGGGGGTTAGGTGCAATTTACCCAATCAAGTACGCATTTATATGAGGCTAAAAAAATGTTCAATAGAAATGCATACCTTTGTAACATTAGGATGATCAAGCTTATGCCAAACAGCAACCTCTGTTTGAAAAGATGCCCGAAGAGCAGCAGTTTCAGCATCTGTAGCAAGACCATCTTCGCCCCAATCCAACAGCTTCACTGTTATATTAAAAAAGAAATATGAGCAATACTCTTTTGAGTTTAATGAAAAGTAACTTGCAATGGCAAGAATATATTTCTCAACCATGCGCAACCAAAATACATATACAAGAATATAATGGGTAAATTAGTCATTAGTCTCACCTTTCTAACATAAATTCTATTAATTTTTCCATCTACCGAAAAGAAAAATGACATAGACCCGCTGGCATTTACCAAATTGTCTGAAGTAGACAGATATTTGGGATCAAAGAATAAAACCTATCAATTACACATATAGTAGGAACTACCTTGAATTAACTAGTATTAAAGAACAAAGCAGATACTTCTTAATTGCTGCCTTGACTATTCACAAAAAGGAAACCTACTACTACATGTTATATAGGAAGGTTTGTTTGCCTTTCACATGATCTGCAGACGATTCAGTATTCTTAACTGGGAAAGTAAGAAACAATAATGAGAAGAAATTCCAATTATTGGCAGCATTTTATCAGGAACCCACTCTGGTCCTGTTAAATAATACTGCAAAAGCTCTTAAAATGGAAAGGGTAGACAGTAAACAAAATTTATGACAGCCTAGCCTTTATCTCAACTTCTTTACCAATTCAACTATGTTATCATGTTTACCCATACTAAGGCTTCAATAAGTAAAATACATCAAACCAAATACACATGCATGTCAAGCTAGCATAGCAGTTTCCACAAGTGCAAATAATCTCCAACATCAAAGGTACACTTGTGGCCCAAGATGAAGTACTAGATCAGAACAATAGTAGCAAACCAGGGGGCAACAGTTGAAGTTCCCCTAGATTTGCAGATAAAATAGATCAACAAGAGAGATCATAAGGTTCCCAAAAGGTATTGTGATTATCTAAAGAACAAAATATTCCATTAAAAAAAGAACAAAATAAGCAGATGGGCCCTAGAGAATCACATTCTCATCAAATTACAACCTACTGTAATTAATTAGAATATTAGATTGATGTATAAACTTATAAATACGAATCTATACAACAATGCTAAGCAAATACGGGAACAAGTGAGAAAAGGGATCCTTCTCCGGATTTCTTTTTATGTCCCTACCATCTATATTCAACCCTATCAGGATATTTTTTATGTCCCTACCTCTAGATTCACCAATAGTCATATAAAAATCAGGAGTTTAGAACAAGTCAACAAAAATAGTTCCAACTACATAGTTCCATATGAAGGTCAACACTAATAGGAACAGAAACCATTCCTATCTTATCCTTGAAGGCATCCAATTAGTTTCATACCTTTTGAAATTATAAAAGGTTGTTGATTGATTAAGGAAGATAACATAGGCTTGACATGGTGGTCATTGTCTTCATGTGCACACAGAGAGTATCAGCACTTTAGATGTGGTTTTTTACTATTACTTTTCTTTTTCTATCTTTAAGGGAAGTGGTCTCGAGATGACAAGATTGGAGGCCAAGACCGGGTTTAATTTTTCTGAAAAGCAAATGTAGAAAATTTAGGACGTTTAGGAGGGAAGATTGAAGAGATCAAAGGCGCAGGTTGGGCTCAACCCGACCCGACTAACCCGACCTGTTCATTTGGAATTTGGGTTGAGCCCAGGTTGAGAAAACCAAACCGACATAAGGTTGGGTGGGGTTAGGTTAGACACAAAACCCAAAGTACACATTACTCACATCCAGACCCAATCCAACCCAAACCCATTCAAGTTACACAAGTTCCTAGTGTTTCTCATATCTATTTGTTTATTATTTCCTAAATAGAAGGTTTAGTTATTTGTTATCATTATGATGGAGGACTTACCTAGGTTGTGGACTAAAAGGGTTCTACCATGGTCGTTAATGTTGGGTATCTACTCAAACTCAAAGTTGGGATAGAGTTTTTAATTCTTTGTGTAACTTCATGAGAATTAGATAAGGTTAGAGATCTATCATGATTAGGAGTTTGGGTTCCATCATGATTGGGAGTTTGAATCTTATTCTAATTAGGAAGTTAGACTAGAGATAGGGTTTTGGTTTCTCTATATATATCCTTCTATTGTTAGAGAAAAAAAAAGAGAGAAGAAAAAGAAGTGTAGAGAGAGAGGGTTTGACAGTCTTTATCCGTGCAAAAGATTGTAATTTGGAGGTGATAGTGGATTGATTTTGATCCCGTGGTTTTTCCCTGTTGAGGGTTTTTCACGTTAAATCTTGTATGATTTTATTTGCTGCGTTTGGTGGTTTTTTTGGGGGTTTTTACAAGATATAAAAATCTCTACAAGTGGTATCAGAGCGGGGTTCGACGGTTCGTGGAGATTCGAGATTTGCAACGACATTTGTGGTAACGGAACTGCAGCAGCAACACTGTTCACCGAGGTACTGTAGCGGAGGAACTGTTCACCACAACGCAGTGTCCATGGTACTGTAGCGGTGATACTGTAGCAACAACAGATCCGACGGTTAAGGTTGATTTGTCTTTTGATCGAGAATTTGGAGGCGGATTTCGGTGATCCAGGAATCGTTCCTAGGGTTTTTCAACGTGTTGAGTTCGTTTTTGACGTCGGTTTTATCAAATTCAATCTCTATAGGGACTGATTTGAATTTTGATCGTGTTGAGTTCGTTTTTGACGTCGGTTTTATCAAATTCAATCTCTATAGGGACTGATTTGAATTTTGATCGTGGTTAGAGGATGATGACTATAGGGACTGATTTGAATTTTGATCGTGGTTAGAGGATGATGACTTCTTCGGGTCCGAAGTTTGATATTACGCTATTCAATGGCAAGACAAATTTTACAGTATGACAGTGCACGATTCAAGATATTCTTGTGTAGCAGGGTGTTGATCAAGCTTTGGAGGAGAATAAATCTAAAGGATTAAAGAATGTTGAATGGAGTTCCATGCAAAAGAGGACGGTTAGCACAATTCGTTTGACACTCGCCCCCGAGATCAAGTACAATGTTATGCAAGAGACCACACCAAGGGGGCTATGGGAAAGGCTCGAGGGGATTTATGCGTCGAAGTCGATGACCAACCGATTGTGTTTGAGGATAGAGTTTTATTCGTTGAAGATGAAAGAAGGTACAGCAATTCAAGACCACATCAATACCTTTAATCAGCTAGTTTGCTAACTTATGAATATTGATAAGGAAATTAAAGAAGAAGAGCAGGTGCTACTCTTATTGTCTTCCTTGTCGAAGTCGTACAAGCCGTTAGTTCAGACGATAATTGCAGGGAAGCAGACTTTGAAGTTCGACGATGTGACAGCACTCCTACGTGAGAATGAATGAATGATGGAAAAGGAGAGCGCATCTAATGGTGGTAAGAGTGCACTAGCTTTTGAAGGTTCTAATCGAGGGAGAAATACAGGGAGATGTGACAGTTATCGAGGAAGATCAAAATCTCGGGCCCGAGACGACAGCGAAAAGGAGTGTTATTATTACGGAGAGAAGGGTCACATTCAGTTCAGATGTTCCCAGATGCGTGATGATTTGAAGAGTATTAGACAGATAACGCTTCAAGAAAATAGGAAGAAGACGGACTCCTCAGTGGTTGTGTGTGATGAAGATGTGGTTTTATTGATGCAGAGTACAAGTACTGATGCGAGTAACACTTGGGTGTTAGATTTTGCAGCCTCTATGCACGTTTGCAACAACAAAAATTATTTTAACACATTGAAGACAGATGAAGAATTTGACGATGTGATTGTTGGAAATAACGAGAAGATGAAGGTTAAATGTGTTGGATGTGTTCGCCTCAAGCTTCACACTGGAAAGGTCGGAATTCTTCATCATGTGAGATATGTGCCGACATGTTGTGCTAATTTAATTTCGCTAGGTGAGATGGCATCACGTGGGTACAAGTATGTGGGTGAAGGAGAGTGGTACAATGTGTATAGAGATGGTGATTTGATTTTGCGAGGGAGGAAGAATAGCAATCATATTTGCTATTTAGATGGACGATCCGTTAATGGTGCAAATTACTCTTCTCAGACTCTTGTCCACAAGGGAGAGGTGAAGAACAAGAAAAAGATAGTGAGTTTTTCTGAAGTCGTTGAGACACTTGGAGATTTTCCGTCGAGGGAGGATATGTTGGGTATCTACTCAAACTCCAAATTGGGATAGAGTTTTTAATTCTTTGTATAACTTCATGAGAATTAGATAAGGTTAGAGATTTATCATGATTAGGAGTTTGGATTCCATCATGATTGGGAGTTTGAATCTTATTCTAATTAGGAAGTTAGACTAGAGATAGGGTTTTGGTTTCTCTATATATATCCTTCTATTGTTAGAGAAAAAAAAAAGAGAGAGAGAAGAAAAAAAAGTGTAGAGAGAGAGAGGGTTTGGCAGTCTTTATCCGTGTAAAATATTGTAATTTGGAGGTGATAGTAGATTGATTTTGATCCTATGGTTTTTTTCCTGTTGAGGGTTTTCCACGTTAAATTTTATGTGATTTTATTTGCTGCGTTTGATGGTTTTTTTGGGGGTTTTTACAAGATCTAAAAATCCCTACAGTTAATACATATGACATTTTGCAAAAGATGTACATTATTTTTGTATGCTCATGCAAATTTCAATCATGTCTTTCGAGTTCAATCCTTTTTAACTGACATGATCCTATGTGCTTTGAGCATTTGACAAAATGGAAGCCATTGATTTCATTAAAAGATTTCTTACATGAACGGACAGCAAAATGGGAAACAAAAACATTTTCTCGTTTAAGATCTCCCATATCATAACAACTAGTACCTATTCAAGATAAGACAAACGAGGAAAGTGAAATATCAGAATAATATAAGAAAATGCAAGCCAATGACAGAAGCACATTGCCCTTTTCACGCTAATATGGAAAAGAATGCGAAAATCAAATCATGACCACATAAAAATCATAAAAAGGCAAGCAAAATTCAGGCAAATAAAAGCAATAAGCTCAAGAAGCCTCTTAATTACATCGTCTATGGAGAAAATGGTGCAGTTAATATGGGTTAACAACCTTCTGTGTCGATAAAAACCAAGTGGTGCATATGCCACCAATTAAAATATCCACTCTCAACCCTAAAAATGCACAGTTGACAAGTTCCACACATGCCTCCGGAATGCATTTAGGCAAGAGCTTTTAAGAAAAAGTATAATGTAATCATTACAAATAACTAGGATAGTTAACTGAAGATTTTCGTTTGTTGCTAGTTAGTTAAAGCTCAAGAATAATTTTGTTCCAATCAAACCCAAATAATTTAAAAACTAGAGGTTCGGGAATGTACATAGCAGGCTAAACCATATAATTACCAAACATATACTGCACTCTATTTACCTCTAGAAGCATTATGGAAATAGCTGAGCAGTTATTTTCCTCCTCAACTTGCAAACTCTTGGACAGACTGTTATCATCCTCATCTCCATCACCACGTTTCAGAAAACATTTACACGTCTTTGATTTTTTTTACATCAAACTTTTATCCTAGCATAAAATTTGTTCCCAACGTAAAAAGCATGCTGCGTTGCAGTACTGCACAAATATTAATAGACTGCCCATTCTTTCTTAAAATAATTGTAATTTAGGTAATCTTACCAATACCACTTAGATCCAAAAATATATCTTCCATGTCAGGTATCGCACGTCATACAGAGTAATATTTCATATGAGCAGACATTGCTCTCAGATCCTAGTCTCCTCACCATTTTGTTCACTCACACAGGCGAAGTTCTCTCGTAACAGAGCAAAACAATAGAAACTACATGAAGAAGAATACACAGAGTGAAATAGATCATCCCATAACAGAAGATTAAATATGAACTGGTTAGTGAGTGGGGCTTATGGAGATACTATAAAAATAGTAAAATCTTTTAGATTGCTTTAACCATTCACATTCTTTATGAATTTTGTTGTATGCATCAAAGTAAACATCTTAAATCCAAGATATTTCATCCGTTCTTTTCATTAATCATACATTGATGGACTAATATTTGGACCTCCAAACCGCTATTGATATTATTTGCATTAGTAGCATGCATTGTAGATATTCCATGAAGGTTAGAGGTAAAGCAGTCAGAATGGTCAAGAATGTTTGCTCCATGGCAAAGTAGTCGCAGAGTAAAATAAAAAATAATTGCTGAATTCATTGCTAATACAATATCCATATCATAATTTGGCATGTTCATAACTGTAGGCAACAATGAGCTTTAAATAGACTTGCACGCTTGAAGTATGTAAGATTGTATCGGCGACTTAGATGATATGCCACAATAACAAAACAACCAATACTAACCACGCAGTAGATAAATATTCAGAAATCAAATAAACCACATTAAGCTAAAAAGAATTTTGGCTACCTGCAACATCCTGGCCATCATAAGTGCCTCTATAAACAGTTCCATAAGTTCCTCGAGCTACTTCATATCGAATCTCAAGCTTCGACAAATCAATCTCCCACTCTTCTTTCGGCCTTTCAGTACTAGTACCCTTCCCCTTGTTCCAAACCTTATTGAGCTGGTTCTCCAGTTGAACATCCAAACTCTTCAGATCAATCTTATCTGCTCTAAAGAACATATCTTTTGATCCAAAACTACTCCCAAAGCTCCCAAACCCTTTCAACCTAGACCTCAACCCCGCTTCTTTAGCCCCAGATGAAGTCTCCACACCCATTTCCTTCTCTTCCTTCCTTGATTCCATCACAAGACCTAGAATTCTTTGTGCTAGAACAAAAAAATCCTTTTAAAAAATCCTACTATTTGCAATGGACATTTATTAAAAAGCTCTCGCCTTTCCAAAGCTATCACCAAACTAAGAGATACCCAACGCAGAAATTTGCCTGAAGGGACCGATTCAATGAATTCTCTGTGCAGCAACTTACAAAAAAAAAATCCTACTAAATTTTCCAAAAATCTTCCTGAAAAGCTCTCAACTTTCCAAATCTATCACCAAATTAAAAGATACCCAGCACAGAAATCTGCCTAAAACGACCGATTTCAATGAATTCAACACGATCAAAAGGGTTGGTGACTATAAAAGGAAGTGAATAACGAAGAAAGAGAAGAAGAAGGAGAGATGGAAATTGAGAGGGGCCGCTATCGTTGACCTAGCCTTAAAAGGAACACAGCTCGAAACCCCAAAAGTGTCTTTCAATGGATTCTAGTTTCAAGCGGTAAGAAAAAAGAGAGGGAGAGAGATGGGGATTTTTATATATTTCAACGATGGTAACTAAGCTCATGAACAAGAGAGCGGATTTCAATAAAAGTTTTTGGGTTTTTTTCTCTATACGCCCCCAAAATCAATCATATTTGCAAACTTATACTCTAAAATTCATGTTAAGAAATATTTCCAGGATATCGTAATGCACCCTTAGTTTTATAATAATAGGTGAAAAATGCATTTTCCATTTAGGATCTTTTTGGTTGTTTTCCGAAAAAAATTGGAATCGGAAAACTCAGTTTTTAAATGATTTCAATAGTTTTCATGACATTTCTCACTTTCCTTTTTTTCCCGCAAAGAAATCACCTCATTTCATCGTCAAGTCACACAAAAAACAAAAAAATTGCAATAGTAACAGCGCTTTTAAGTTTTCATTTCTTGTGTTTGTTTGAACGAAAAAGGGAAAGGGAAATCAGTCGTAATAGTAATAGTGTTTTTAGCATTTAAATAATCTGTTTTATTCACATGGACGGTTTCAACAGTACTTTTAATAATTAAAAATTCATAGAAGTGACATTTTAAAGTGTTTTCAGAGGTTTTTTGTGTGAAAACACATTTCTTAAAAATCTGACATGACATCTTACGTGACAACCTTATTTCTTTAAATTACAAAACGAAACAAACATGTAATCTGAAAATCATTTGAAACCAAAATCCTACATGGCATGGGGGATTTCTTGAAATGTGACTTGCGGGGTGGGGGGTGGGGGAGGTGGTTCTCATTTTTTTTTAGCAAACAAACAGCCCCTTATATACAGATAACTAAAGGAATTTTTTTCCTTTTCCTCGGAAATGATCGCTTAATTAACTAAACAGGCATTACAAACTACTTATGCATCCTTTTTATTCATTAAAATAACCTTAAATAAAAAAAAGTTAACGAGATGTTTTCCTTGTGCGAGTATCACTTTGCTGATTGGTGAACTTGTTCTCCTTTGATGACCACTTATTTCATGTTAACCTCGATATATTAGTGATGACGTAAAAAAGACTTGACCAAACTAATCAAAATACTACAGCAAATCTGCAAAGATCATGAAAAGCAACCAAAGTACGCTGAAGTCATATTATGCTGCATGAATTTGTAGGTAAAGGATTTAAGAAGATTGTAATCGGCACGCTTATGTTGACTGCAAGATTAAAATCCAATTATCCCAGGCGTTTGATTTTTCATTTTCATTTTTCATTTTGGTTATAATGATGACGTATAAATCTCTTCTTCAAGTATATCCGCATAATTCCCCGACCAAGCCAGCAGAGAGTCGTACAAGGCAGCTCAATTATTCCACAGCGCTTGGAAGGTAGAATCGACTCCTCCATTTTCATGCATCTTCCTATCATTTTCCATTTTTGTAGAATATGAATGGTTGGGTTCTTAGATAATATCCTTTATTTTTACATCACATAATTGTACATTTGCTCAGTGCATAGAGATCGTACTGCTAGTTCAGTTCGTATCCGTGAGTATTCTGCTGCACGCGATGCGTGTATGGTATGATACAACCTTGTGCGTAATAAATAGTTTGTTGAACACGTTAATAATTAATATTAATACATGTATTACAAATAGTTCCACGAATAATATAAGTATATGGTATTTTAAAAATAGGATAGCTATTAGATAGTTGGGTTAGTTACAAAGAAGGTTATTGTTTGCCTTTTTTCAAATTTGTCCTCTATTAAGTTGTAATTATTGGAAATTGTGTGTAGAATTCTGAGATGTGATTGGAAATTTTCCAAAAGGCGGCTTATATAGGAGTAGAACACCAAAAAAGGTTTTTCTTAAATAATAGTATAGGTAGATAGACATTGATAATCATTATTATGCTTATCTTTAATATTCGTCATATTTATACTCAGTGATGGATCCATAATTTTTGCAAACTAGTGTCCCCACTTGTTACCGAAAGAGTTTTCATATTAAAAAAAAAGATTCAATTCTACTAAGAAAAAGATTCAATATTACTATCAGATACATCATTTTTTATTTATATCTCTAAATAAACATCTAGATAATTATCATGCTAACCTTAACCCATAAGATTCTTTTATTGAAAAAACCATATAATTCTTAATATATAAAGAATATTGATGCTGGAAATATTCAAAGATTATATATGTTGTAGAGAAAATTAGATCAAATTGATAGAAATTCGAATATAATTTTATTTTTTAAGATTTTTTTCTACAGGACATTTGATTTGATTGAGTTATCTCATCTTAGAATAGACTGAATTAGTTTGAATCCGGTCAAACCACAGCCTATATAATATTTTCTTCATTGTTTTATTTTAGCTATGACCGTACGTAAGTTCCCCCATCACAAATATTCCCATACATTCAAAATAAATAAACCCAAAACTCATTAAAAATCGAGGGGAAATTGTGTCGATGCTCAAAAAGTAGAAACTTTATGTGACGAGGCCCTTTGTATTCTACCACACATGGAGAAGCCCCAAAATACACAGAACATTTGTGACGAGGCCCAAAGTATCAGATTTAAAAAAAAAAATCAATGGAAGATACGAACTTGCCCCTTTGATGAGACTGAACTCGGTTACTGCGCGCCTCCCTATTTATTCCCAATTTCTCCATCATTAATCACGTATCTCTCTCACCCCTCTATCTCTCAACTTTTCCTTCTCTCTCACTTCCGACATGGCCACTGAAAATGATCAGGCCCCTGAGGAGGCCGTGGAAGGCAAAGGCGAGGACGGTGGTCATGGAGTCAGAGATCGGGGATGTGATCAAGCCCGAGGGCTGGGCTGTCTAGGACGGGGCCGACTTTCCACTAGACCTACTACTATACCGAGTACAACAACAAGGGGCCTAACGGGTATCCCAGGCCCAGGGCCGAGTGGGTCAAAAAGCACGAGTCCATCAACAAAGAGGCGTCCCTCTTCCTGATCGAGAACTAGCTAAGGGACGTCACCTGGTCGAGGGACGCCGAGGCTAAGTTTATCGACGGCTTTGTCAAGAGCTAGCTAGTTAGTTTAATCAAATCACTAGCTATGTTGTTAATTAAAAGCTTGATTGGCTTGGACCCGCCATGCATTAAGCACGTTGGGTTTTAATTTGTTATCTTGAATTTTTATTAATTGTGTTGTCATGGAATTTTTTAAAACATTTTATTTGTAATTATTTCCAAAATTTATAAATGAAAAGTGGGGTGAATTCCTCTCCTCTTTTATCATTGTTATTGCTATTTTATCATCAGTTCTTTCTTTAATTTGTTGTGGACGTGGCCGAAGCGCTGACTGGGAATAAGATCGCAAGGCAACAACATCAAATAATAATAGAAAAGAATTATACTAGAAAATAATTATACTAGAAAAGAATTATACGTGTTAGTTCTATTTCCAGCTAGTGTTATTTCTAATATAAGTGTTAGTTCTAGTGGTATGTTAGTTCTAGTTGAGCCCATGTTAGTTCTAACAGTTATCGTGTTAGTTCTACTTCCAGCTAATGTTATTTCTAATATAAGTGTTAGTTCTAGTAGTATGTTAGTTCTAGTTGAGCCCCTGTTAGTTCTAGCGGTTCTCGTGTTAGTTCTATCTGATTTCATGTTAGTTCTTATTCCAGCTAGTGTTATTTCTAATATAAGCGTTAGTTCTAGTGGTGTGTTAGTTCTAGTTGAGCTCATGTTAGTTCTAGCGGTTCTCGTGTTAGTTCTAACTGATTTCATGTTAGTTCTACTTCCAGGTAGTGTTATTTTTAATATAGGTGTTAGTTCTAGTGGTATGTTAGTTCTAGTTGAACCCTATTAGTTCTAACAGTTCTCGTGTTAGTTCTATCTGATTTCATGTTAGTTCTACTTCCAGCTAGTGTTATTTCTAATATAAGCATTAGTCCTAGTAGTATGTTAGTTCTAGTTGAGCCCATGTTAGTTCTAGCGGTTCTCGTGTTAGTTCTAGTTGATTTCATGTTAGTTCTACTTCCAGCTAGTGTTATTTCTAATATAAGCATTAGATCTAGTGGTATATTAGTTCTAGTTGAGTCCATGTTAGTTTTAGGGGCTCTCGTGTTAGTTCTAGTTGATGTCATGTTAGTTCTAACTTTTAGCTAGTGTTCTAACTTTCAGCTAGTGTTATTTCTAATATAAGCGTTAATTCTAGTGGTATGTTAGTTCTAGTTGAGCCCATGTTAGTTCTACTTCCAGCTAGTTTTATTTCTAATATAAGCATTAAATCTAGTGGTATATTAGTTCTAGTTGAGCCCATGTTAGTTTTAGGGGCTCTCGTGTTAGTTCTAGCTGATGTCATGTTAGTTCTAACTTTTAGCTAGTGTTCTAACTTTCAGCTTGTGTTATTTCTAATATAAGCGTTAATTCTAATGATATGTTAGTTCTAGTTGAGCCCATGTTAGTTCTAGCGGTTCTTGTGTTAGTTCTAACTGATTTCATATTAGTTCTACTTCTAGCTAGTGTTATTTCTAATATAAGCATTAGATCTAGTGGTGTGTTAGTTCTAGGGGCTCTCGTGTTAGTTCTAGCTGATGTCATGTTAGTTCTAACTTTTAGCTAGTGTTATTTCTAATATAAGCGTTAGTTCTAGTGATATGTTAGTTCTAGTTGAGCTCATGTTAGTTCTAGTCGTTCTCGTGTTAGTTCTAGCTGATTTCATATTAGTTCTAAATTGCAGCTAGTGTTATTTCTAATATAAGTGTTAGTTCTAGTGGTATGTTAGTTCTAGTTGAGCTCCTGTTAGTTCTAGCTGATTTCATGTTAGTCCTATGTGAGTTAGAACCAACATAAAATGAGTTAGCTCTAACAAAGACCCAAAGGCCTAAGGCCCAATCAAATACCTTTAAATATATATTGTAGGTGTAGGGGTTTGAACTCCTAACATCCTCTCCAAATTCCCAAGCTTTATCACTAGACCAAATAGCCAAAGTATTAATGTTAGTTCCATTTAAAGTTAGCTTTAACATGAATTAGAACTAACATGAAATAAGTTAGAACTAAAATGAAATATGTTAGAACTAACATGAGTTATTGCTCATGATAGAGTTTAAAAAACAGCGGGAAATTTCCCTCCATTTTTTCCGTCAGATCGCATTAATGAGACGTGACTTGTCATGTTTTTGGGAACCAGAGACGTCTGGGGAAGATAAATGGAGGGGCAATTTCGGGTGTTTTTCCAAAATACTATCTCTCTTTTGTACTGTTGACGTGGAGGGGGCTTGAAACATTAAATGCTATTTTTTAGGGCTAAATTACATGGGCCAAAATACAACGAGGTTGGGTCACATGGAGTTTTTGCTTTTAGGGTCTGGACATATTTTTCCCAAAAATCGAACCCCCTTTTCAAAACAGTGAACATCCACCCGTACAAAAAGCCTTAATATTAAAGTCCTTACTACAGTCCAAAATAACTAGTATTCACCTTTCCTTTCTTTCCTTGGATCCTACTCATTGTTTGACTCTCTTAAGGGCCTATTTAGATGAGATAGAATTTGTGAAAAACATTTTTAGGAAACTTTTTATTAAGTTTGTTTCCAATTCTCTTGTTTGGTTCAAATGAAAAAAAAACAAGAAAAAAGTGTGTATATATCATAATTATATAGAGATGTGACTAGGTAAGGGGCTGTTTGGTTCGGCAAAATTTTTAGGAATCCTGCAATTATGGAACAAAAAAATTAGGTTTTTTGACATTATAAGATTTCAAATGAAAACATTATAAGATTTCAAAACTTTCATTTGGTTCAACTTTTTTTTTAAGTATACATTTCTTAAAAACTGACATGGCAGCCTACTTTATAGAAAGCCAAAATCCTCTTTTTAAGCTCGGAAATGGGCTAGAAATCTGACAACTCATCATTTACTCTTACAACTCCCTAAATTATTTGGCAATGAAACAAACATGAGTTTTGAATATGCTTTCATATTCTTCACTTCATCATTCCGTACCAAACATAAGGTATGGGTTCATTTGAGATCCACAAATTTTTTTAGAAATAGTTATTTGATTTGGAATCCATTTCCATTATTTTATGGAAACGAACCAAACATCCGCTAAGTATACCACAAAAAACATTGAAACCCAATTCCTATCAAAAAGTACAAAAATGGGCTTAAAAGTAAAAAAAAAATAGACCTTACGTTGTCCTTCCATGCTATTTTCTTGTTTTCCTTTTTTTTTCTTAGCTTTTAGGAAACGAACCAAACAGCTCCTAAGGGGCTGTTTAGTTGTTGTTGGTAAAGTTGTGTATTTATGACGCAACTTGGAAAGTTGTTATCCACCTCATCGATTTCACTTTTATACTTTTCTTTGTTTGTTTTTGATTCCATTGGAATCATAAATTGCTTGTTTGGTTTGCAAATGTAACTTTAATTGTTTGTTTGAAAAATGTAAAAAGTTGTCCCAACTCAAAAGATCATATTGGTTGGAATTATTTTTTATTATTTTTTCCTGACTTCAATGTCAGCTTTCTCCTAAAATCATGTCTTTTTTTTATGAAATCACTTTACAAGCCACATCAGCATATGAAATCACTTTACATTATTTTCACAACTACAAACAAACAATTAAAAGTGATGAAAGTTGATATTGGGACCAACTTTTTTACACTTCACATCCTTTTACATGGTAAAAACATACAACCAAACAGCCCCTAAGTGAACCCATGGACACAATTTTACTGTGCACTGTTTCGAGGCAGGCTATCTACTTCTTGGATCATACGGACCCTCAATAAATCCCACGGAGACACCACTTCTTGGATCCTCCCCTACTTATACAATTATACTCGACCTTCTGTAGAGTTGTGGCTAAATCATTTGACTTTGCATAGAAGTAGAAGGCCTCAAATATATCTTTTGTTTTTTCTTATCTCTCCCACCTTTTATTTTCTTTCTTTTTTTCGATCTTTGTAAATATTAGTCTTCGATCTTTGTAAATATTAGTCGCGCTTGTTATCAATAATCTTTTTTTCGATCTTTGTAAATATTAGTCTTCGATCTTTGTAAATATTAGTCGCGCTTGTTATCAATAAATCATTGGCTGATAAAAACTGAGATTAGTCTTCGATCTTTGTAAATATTAGTCGCGCTTGTTATCAATAAATCATTGGCTGATAAAAACTGAGCTGACAGCCTCTTGTTAGTCGCCCTTTTTTTCGATCTTTGTAAATATTAGTCTTCGATCTTTGTAAATATTAGTCGCGCTTGTTATCAATAAATCATTGGCTGATAAAAACTGAGTTGACAGCCTCTTGTTAGTCGCCAACAGTACGAGATGCTTTCTTGATGTTTCAATGTTATTGTCAGGCTGATGAGGACTACCCAATCTCATATTATTATGACAATCCCATGAATTACATGCCCAACGGACCCTTCACTTCTTTTTCCCCCCCTTTACATAAGACAGGAGTCGTTGTCTTCTGATGTTTCGAGGGGGGCCAAAAGCAAGCTTTGCTGTGAGTTTTATGAATTATTCTAGTTTCATGAGAATGACCGGCACTTATTACTGTTGCTTGTCAACTCAAATTACCAGCTTATGTCTAGTTTAAGGGTCAACGACTACTCCCCTCAAAATCTCAAACTTGCTGGCTCTGATCAACGAATGACCTCCAGTTGAAAAGTATAGCTTCAATCACTACTTTCCTTGCTTCCCCATGTATAGAGATCGCAGTACATTTTCCATGATTTCTCTCCCACTGGACAATAAAAGATTAGCCAAGACCATACAATTTTATGGGCAAGAAGTGTATAAAAACATACAATAACAACACACAAAAATTCCAACGGATCATTCAAGTTTTTGTGCCGTCACTGTCAGCTTTGCCATAGTCACAACTTATGGTACCTAGCTTTATTCGCACTCAAATGGTCTCATCAAGGTCTTGGACATATTCCAGCAAACATAGCTATACCGAGCCACTTGCTCATTGAGCTAACCAAGAGACAAATAAAATTCGGGAGAAGAGAGAGTCAAGTTGAGCGGCGTATGCGCACAAAAAGATAGATGAACTAGGCTTTTATTTTTATTATTACAGAGGTTATAATTACATGATACATATATTAACGCGTTAATATATCAGCAAAGGAATTGGCACCATTTCCTCGGTGGGGCGTGCTTAGATTTGCTTCTGCTTGAATATCATGTTTCCACACTGAATGAGGTTTCAAACATCGACATCATCATTTGTCCTGGTCCAGAAAGAATACTGATATAAGTAATCAGACTGTTACTGCTAACTACTAACAAGCAAGCAAATAGCATAGAAACTGTACGAAGCCAGAAGAAAGAGCCTCAAGAATTGTTAAACAATAGGCGCTGAAACTTTCCTTTCACAATTGCAGGTTTGAGAAGCAAAAACCTGATAATTCTATTATACTGTTCTTACCTTTTTCACAATCCTTATCAGTTTCCTTTCCATATATTACATAAATTCTTGGAGTATATAAGCAGAAAGTACTTTATTATATTATTGTCGTGTCACCTTATGGTAGAGTAGTTGAGTGGGAGTCCATGCTTGGACGTCTCCTGAAAATTATTTTAACCCCTTCTCCATTAAATGTATGCCTGAGCAGTGAGCATCCACTATAAGCCGTTTTCCCCCTCTTCGAGGCAAGTATTATGTATCTACGCTGTTAGCTTTTAGGAGCTGGTATTCACCAAATCTATAAGTAGATATGGTTCATGAAACAATCTCAAATATGTGATCCTACCTCTCTGTTTCTCTCTCTACTTTCTATACTTTTACCATGATGCTTATCTATTCATTTGTCTGATTTCAACTACAATCTATGAATCAGAGTCTCAATCTTCCTAAACCCACAACTTCCACAGAAGATCTCATTTATAAATATTGCTCCATTTACACCCTCCACAGAACTTCGTCTCCAGGCTATTGCCTTAAATTTCATGGACATGGTTCAGTACATCATGTTCTGTTGGATGTTTAACGAGCAGAAAATGCTGACAAAGCGGTAATTCGTGTAATTATAAGTAACAGTTAAGTGCAAAATACATGCAGGAATCAAGCACATGGTGGAATGGATCAACATGTTAAACAGATGAAATAAAATAAGTTGGATAGTCTATGTATGCAGAAAACGGTATACTGTACCTTAATAGTGAAAAGAACACTGCTATCAAAGACTTGTTGACCAGGAGAAACCTGAAGCCCCTCTACATATCCAGCACGAGGAGACTTGACAACATGCTGAGAAAGTCATAAGAAGTAAGATTATAAACCTGAGATAAAATAAGTGAAGTAACAGAAACTTTTGCTAATACCTCCATTTTCATTGCTTCAAGAACCAAAACAGGCTGGCCTTCCCCCACTAATGCACCATTCTCCAGCAAAACCTTGACAACCAAACCAGCCATAGGTGCCACGACACTACCTTTAGGACGATTGCCCATGTCAAGGACAGGTTTGTGGTGGGACTCATCATCAGTATATTGATTAAGTTTCATAATTTGTCGATAGTGATGGTGATGTTTGTCATGCCATAGATGTATGTGTTTGCTGTCCTCCTAATGGAATATTATCATAATGCAACATGTGAGTGTTGAGAATGCACATTTAAAAGAAAAAAGATGCCAATATCGGATGAAAATTTTGACAATCTGTAGAGTAAAAGAAATGACCTTGGAATAAAGTGCCAGCGTAACATAGGTGCTAAATCCATCAGCATCAACCCTGAACTTATGATTTCCCAGATGAGTGACTTTAATATTCCAACCAGGGAAATCACAATCTTCAATCTGGTAAAATGAAATACACATCATAAGGGTTGATATTGGGCAAATTTCTGTTAACAACATTTACATTGTTAAGGTTGATATCTGCCAAATTTCTGTTAACAATATTTACATAAAATTCTTAATGGAGAAATGAGAAAATAATGCACATAAAAACATGAATAACCATCTACACTCAACAAAGATGTTTATTTGAATGAACGGCTGAGATTGATTAGTTTTTTCACATAAATGCTCGGACACGATGTTATGAAATAGTCAAATAAAATATTATTGATTCGAGAGTATATAGGGATGAAACCAGATAGTAATCAAACGCGGGTCCATACCCACTAACCCAATAACTAAACCACACTAATGTATGTTTTAAAAATATATTTATCTATACCTTAGATTGAAGTTTCTATAAGGAAGAATCTTGAAACATATATTAGCAACAGAAATTTACCTTACAATCTATTAATAAAAGTAGGTATAGCGTATTAGTCTACAAACATCTTTTAAGGACACAAGACAATGTACAGGTGACTTAACAAACAATTGTCCTGTACAGATGGACACACATCATCACAGAGATACAAATAGACCCGCCAAACTTCCATGAGAATACATGTCCTATATATCATGTGAATAGATACAATTATAAAGAAGATAACACATATATGTTAATTGCACAAGCTGATCAGGAATGAGCACATTTGAAAGACTTCAGATGTCAAATATAACAAAAAAGAATGTACCAAAATGAATTATTGGATCTGCCAAAAAGTATCATATATCAAGAAAATAAGAGGGCGTTCAGATCCTTAAAGTTAAAGATCTGATAGACATCCGGTACCTCAGTAAAATAGCTTCCATTAGGCTGATAGGTAATGACAAGCTTGAATAGCTCCTCACAACTACCAGCAGATTCGATCTCCCACTCAAGTTCCATTTTGCGCTTGGGAGAATGATGCATACGGAAAGGTGGATGAGAATACCAAAGGGACTGCAATGTATTTCCACCTATACAAGCTAAAAGCTTGGAAGATTTGATCTAATACCCCCAACTAGCATTGCAGAGAAAGGAAACAAAAATAAAAAATAATCAACATACCCAAGGGAGTTTCTGACGAAGCAAGGTGATCCATTTCACAAATGCAGGCAGCCACTATGCTTGCACCAAGTCTGGCAGAAGCATATGTTTCTTCTGCAACTTTCTCAGTTGAGTCGACACACAGATCATTTTTAAAGTGCTCAATAAAATGTGTTTCAACTAGACCCTTTTCAAAAGCCCAATGGTCTGCAAGACTTTGGAGGAAACTGATATTTGTTGGTAATCCTGCAACCTGCAAAATTGCAACCCTATATATTGCAAACTCGTGTTCCATAATCAAGCTGAAGAGTTCAGAAAAATGGAGTTAAAGTATTCCCTACCGCATCACTATAGGATGGTGCTAGACAAACCTGAAAGTTCTGCAGGCAGTTTTTCAATTTGACTAATGCTGCGTCACGGTTTTCACCCCATACAACAAGCTTAGCTATCATGGGATCATAATGCATGCTGACTGTGTCTCCCTCTTCAACACCCGTTTCAACTCGAACTGCTTCGTGATAGAAATATATTCAAAACTAAAAACAGGCCTCCAATAATATAAGCTAATTGGTGAATTACTTCTTCATTTGCACCTGTTGGTGAAACAGAAACTGGCTGATAATGATGCAGGGTTCCAGTTGCTGGGAGAAAACCTCTAGCTACATTTTCAGCATATATTCGAGCTTCAAATGCATGCCCTATCAAAAGAGAAGGGGATGTAAATAACTCCGGTTTTTAGTATTAACCTCCATAAGAAAAATTATATATTACTTCTGGACAGTGAGAAACTGGGTAGACACTAATGGATAAATAGTGTTAAAACATGCACCGCAGAGGTTAGCATTATTTCCTTATAACCATTACTAGAATTAAACAATTAAAGCAAGTTCTGCAGGCAGCATGAGACCGCACGAGCACAAAAACGAGAGCCAAAGGAAACCAGTTGACAGAAAACTTAATGCAACTCTGATAACAACACGAAATAACACAAGCATATCATCACTAGAGGTGCATGGGAATTGGTCTTAAGACAGGTTTGTTTAAATACCAGGACCTTATCTTAGTTATGTGGTCTCATGGGGATTAATGGCATTTATGTTGATTTGCAGTGCAAAGATGTTTAGATGGACGAGTTCAACTAAAGAAACATTCTTTTCTTAAAATTAGTGTAGAAAGAGATCAAAACCCTAATTATTATTCATTAAGATAATAAGAGAGATATATATATAGCCATACAAATAGGGTTAAGGTTAACGGGTCACAGTCCATTAACCAAATACCCAATAGACTTAATTTAACACTCCCCTTCAAGCTGGAGCATAGATATCCACCATGCCCAGCTTGTCACATATAGTAGAGAACACCTTTGAAGAAGTAGTCTTAGTAAGAATATCAGCAAGTTGCTATGAGGATGGAGTGAATATGAGAGACACTATCTTCTTCCAAGCATCTCTGACAAAATTACAGTCAACCTTAATATGTTTTGTCCTCTCATGAAACACATAATTCTGTGCAATGTAAATGACAGACTGGTTGTCACAATACATTGGCATGGGTCCAGGCTGAACAAAACCAAGTTCTGTCATAAACTTTCGTAGTCACACCATGTCACAAGCAGTGTGAGCCATTGCTCTATATTCGACCTCTGTACTAGACCGTGAAACTACATCTTGTTTTTTGTTTTTTGCTTCTCCAAGTCACAAGATTACCTCCAACAAAAGTACAGAATCCTGAGGTTAACTTTCGATCTCTCATGTCTCCTGTGTAGCCAGCATCAGAGAAAACAGAAATGTGAGTGTGCCCATGCTTCTTATATAGCAATCCCTTATCAGGACAACTTTTGACATATGCCAAAATTTTCAGAGCTGCTGTCCAGTGAACCTCTCTAGGTTTGTGCATAAATTTACTCAATACACCTACTGCAAATGTAATATCAGGTCTGACTAACTGTCAAATATATTAGCTTCCCAATCAGTCTCCTGTATCGTCCACCATCATCTAGTAGAGAGGTATCATCACACCACAAATCAACATTTGCCTTCATTGGAGTGCTTGTGGGTTTACATCCCAAGAGACCTGCTTCTTATAGTAAATCTAGCACATACTTCCTTTGGGACAACAACGGGTCATGTCTTTGATATGCAACTTTAATCTCAAGAAAATACTTTGGCTTTCCCATGTCCTTACCTTAGTGACAAAATGATGGTTTAGATAATCCTTAGTCTCTGCTAAGGCAACAAAGTCACTCCCAATAAGCAGAATATCATCAACATATACGGCTAAAATAACCAAACCAGTTGTGCGTTAAAGAAAGATAAAGTAATCAGACTGACAGTGTTAGAAACCAACACTAAAAATAACATTGCTGAACTTATCAAACCAAGCTCGAGCACTCTGCTTTAACCCATAGATGACCTTTCTCAGCTTGCAGATAATATTCTCCCCCTGAGTAACATACCTAGGAGGTTGCTCCATATAAACCTCATCATCCAAATCACCATAAAGAAAAGCATTCTTCACATCTAGTTGGTGTATTGTCCAATCCATATTAACAGCCATAGAGAAAAGAATTCTGATGGAGTTGAGACGAGCAACGAGAGAAAAAATTTCAAAATAGTTAATGTCATATGTCTGGGTATAACCTTTAGCAACCATACGAGCTTTATATCGGTCAACTGACCAATCGGGGCGATATTTTAAGGTATACACCCATCTGTAACCAACCACAGTCGCTCCATTAGGAAGAGAAACCAGATCCTAATTCCCTCTAGAAAGCAGTGCACCCATCTCCTCATCCATAGCCTGCTTTCAGGCTGGTACTAACATAGCTTCCTCATGTGTCCTGGGTATAGATACAGTAGACAAGGACAGAGCAAACTGACGAAAAAATGGATTGAGACGGTCATAAAAGACAAAAAGAGAGATAAGATATTTCAGACAAGACCGTTTACCTTTCCGAAGAGCAATAGGAATATCTAAGTCAGAAGGGATAGAAGTTTCAACATGAGATGGTCCGGTAGCTAGAGATGAAGAGTCAGCAGGAGCAGAGACAAGGGCATATACTTTGGGGCGACGGGAATATGTCAGTAGAGGCTTCGGTGCAGGAGCTGCAGAAGCCACAGGAACAGGTAATGGAATAGTAGTAGGAGCAGAAGAAAACAGTGATACCTGTGGACAGCCAGTAGTAGTGGAACCAGACGAAAAATATGGGACAGACTCAAAAAATGTAACATTAGCAGACACAAAATATTTCCTGATGAACGGATGAAAACACCTATACCTTTTTTTGACTATGTGAGTACCCAACAAAAACACACTTAATGGATCTAGAAGACAATTTTGAAGGAAATCGTGCTATGTCTACATGCATAATACACAACGGAAGACATGTATGTACAAAAGAATACTAAGCATGTAGAGAGCATGAAATATTCATATGGATCGTCTAATTAAATCTAACATGATCCTTATTATTAAGTGAGCATACAAGGTTTGAAAGTCATACTTTTGTAGCGTGATTCGATAATGAATCGAACAACCTTTAGCTTGCTCTCTTTGATGCAGAAAGCTCCTCGTAGTGGATCTCCCAACTCTTCAAGTAAACCCGAAAGCTATTGGATGCTGCTTGAGACGCGAGGCAAGATATCCACCCCGGGGTTCTTAAAATCCTACTATTTCCTCTTATTCAAAGATTGCTAAAGTTTAATAAGAGGTATAGCTCTTTTTTTTCTCTTATGGAAATTTAATTTTCATTAGCCTTTCATGAAGAGAGAGAGCTCATATTTATAGAGTGAAATGTGTTCATGACATGAATGACTCATCCTATGAGTCATGCAATGAATCATCAAATATTAATGATTAATCTAGTGAGTCATGCAATGAATCATCTTATGAATCATTACATTTCAAAACCATGTGCTAATAAACCATGTGCTCAAACCATACCACTAAATGACTCATCTCATGACTCATTATACATGGTATGTGTATTTCATAAATAAAAATACCAAATCAATATTACTAATACAGTATTTCATAAATACGGTATATAGTATTATTCCAATCTTTAACTAATTAGTCACTATATGACCAAATAAATCAAGAGTTGACCAAAAGTCAACTGTTGACCAAAAAGTCAACTGTTGACTAAAAAGTTAACTTTATGAGAAAAATACTGGAATTTATTTCCTAAGCACATAGCATTCCGATTTTATCGATATACATAACCGTTTGTGTATCCGGTAAAAAAATCATATATGCGTATCAATCATACACTATGTAGCACGGACACGGATCCGACACGGCCATCCGACACGCCGACACGAGGCAAATCCTAAAAAATACATAGGATACGTGTGTTCGACACGTGTGTCCGACACGGATACGACACGACACGGCTTCATGTTATGCGTGTCCGTGCTTCATAGATCATACACATCACTCTATAAATTGTGTTTCATAGGATTCAAGTACACGCTTGGTGTGACTCTAGGGTCCAACTTAAAAAACTCGGTAGTGGATCATATTCATAAGTACAATAGAGGTGCTAGCTACACATGAAGACCACCCGAGTATTAGTTGTGATAAAGATCTGCAAGATGTTTATCCAATTTTATCAGGACCACTCAATGATAATACCGTACAGTCCGGTCTCTTCGTCAAACCATGTCAAACTATTGAGCCTAGGGTATGGCAAACTGTCAAACCCTAATAGCTTGATTAGTGTTTATTGATATTAAACTCATAACCTATAAGATCAAACTGACACTCAGTTTATCTTATTCACCTTGGCCAAGGATTTCCAGGCTATAGTTATATCAAACAATCTTATGACATCAACCCCTATACTAGGTGAGACGAATCCCTTCTTGGCATCTCAATATCTACTTATGTCTCGGGATGTACCCAACAAGAACCGTTATGCACAATTCAATAAGAACTGTGGTTAGGTAAAAACCTAAATACATCTTTACTAACATATAAGATATAACACTCATGTCTCAGGTCAAGAGACTACTATGTACTATATCACTTAAGAACTTCTATTTGACAGTTAAGTATATTACCAACTAGATGTTCTCGACGAGTCGTTCAGTCAACTCATTCACTAATGAGTCACATGTATACTGTATCTTGATGTCTCACATCAATGATCTAAGAGATTAATCATCTCCTTCAAAAGGAGAAATAAAGCATACACTAGTCTAAACCAAAGTGAAGATGTCCTATCTCAACACTTCATCAACTATGAACATTTTAGAATATACGTTACCGACTAATCGAATCTCTTCATTACGATCACTATCTTAAATGTCTGATAGTCTAGTATTTATTCTAAGGACATTATCTGTATTTTTAGAACATCAGATAAATCTGACCAAAATAGCTTACTATCATTTTGAACAATGATGTTATATATATAGGTCCTGTTACAATATACAATAATTGCCTGCAGGGCACCTATATCTAACAAATTTATCCAAACCAGCTAACAAATCCTGAACAAAACACGTACAACCAAAGACGCGAGAATAACAGAAAATTATTTTTTATCAAGATAAAGACAATTGAATGGTATTAAACCATCAAGAACAGAGGAAGACATGTGATTAATCAAATAACAAGCAGTGAGAACAACATCAGACCATAAATACTTTGGAATATTCATATGTATCATCAGTGTTCTAGCAACATCTAGAATATGTCTATGCTTCCTCTCAGCAACTCTCTATTTTGTTATGAAGTGTGAGAGTAAAAAATCTGATGAATAATACCATTAAGTGCACAAAATTTTGAAACGTTATTTTTTATATATTCCAAAGCATTATCAGTACGAAGAATACGAATAGAAGTAGAGAACTAGGTTTTTATTTCATTATAAAAGAGTTTAATAACGTGCGAGACCTCAGACCTCTCTTTTAACAAATACAGCCAAGTCATGCGAGAGAAATCATCAACAAAGATGATGAAATATCGAAAACTTTTCACAAAGGGAACACGATAAGGACCACATACATCAGAATGAACCAACTCAAACGCAAAGCTACTGCGTTTATCGACACGACTTTGAAAAATAGCACGATGATGCTTACCCAGTTCACACGATTTATAACCTAAAGAGGAAATAGATGGCTGAACAGAAACCACCGATCTAAGTTTTTGTAGTGAAGGATGATTCAGACGCTATTGTCACAGTAAAGTAGAGTCAGATTGTGATGTAACAAGACCAGCCTCTGGTACACTATCGTCTAAATAGTACATACATATTTCCTTTCTCATGCCCCGAACTAATCGTCATCCCAGTTGCTAGGTCCTGAAAAACACAATAAGAGGAAAAGAAGGTGACTTTACAGTTATTTTGTTTTGTAAACTTGCTAATGGATAATAGGCTAACGGGAAATTTGAGAACATATAACATATCGGTTAGTTTTAAAGAGGAAGTAGCATGAACTACTCCATCACCACGAACTGGAGAAAGTGTACCATCAGCAATGCGAATAGAGAAAAACTTATCAGAAAGATATAAAGATACAAAGTGATTCTTTATACTTGTCATATGGGATGAGGCTCCAGAATCTAGTACCCAGGGTTTGTGAGGAGAAGCTATGTAAGCATCCATACCTGAAGAGGATGCATGAATAGCAGAATGACCGTTCCGAGAGAGCTCTAACTGGCGTAACCTCTCGTAATCTGCTTGAGAAATCTGAACAATGGGAGCAGTAACAGCTGAATTACCAGAAGTAGTAGCAAAAATAGACGAGCGAGTCGATTCGGCGTCGGCTATCTGGGTCCACTGAGGACGATCAAACTTCTCCCAGCACTTCTCAAAAATATGATTGGTTCTCCCACAGTGACCACACTGACGTGAGCCTTTATCAAATTCACCCTGTCGCCCACCAAAGGAGCCACGTCCTCCCTCTGTCTTACGACTACGACCATGACTGCGGCCTCTGCCTCGACTAGAGAACATGACAGACTGATCCACTGAAGGTGGAGATGTTGCAATAGTATCAGAAGTAACACCAGTAAAGACCTGTATGACTCTGGAGAATGTAACAGTCGGTGACGGGATGATATCTCCACCCAATATCTGTCCTCTCACCTAAGACTGTAAGGTAGGGTGTAATCCAGAAAGAAACTTAGATACTACCAAGTTACGGTGATACCCTAACAGCGTCGTTGCATCAGCTACTGCAAGCTGATGCATCTCTAGTCCATCTATCAGTCCCTTCAACTCACCAAAGAACTCCGGAACTGGCCTATCTGTCTGTTTGAGCGCAAACAATCGCTCATAAATCTTAAATACACGGGAAGCATTATTCTCATTCTCGTACATAATCTTCAGGCTATCCCATATCTCATTCGCAGTGGTTAAAAACATAACACTGCTACTGATTTGTGCTTCCATACTGTTGAGAAGCCAAGTCATAACACAATAATCAGACGAGAGTCAGGAATTATAGGTGGGATCTGTGGTGGGGGGTGGAGATGCCATAAGATGTGGGAGTTTGCTCTGAGCTCCAATAAAGATGCGAAAAACTTGTGCCCAGAACAGATAGTTTGTACCATTCAATTTTATTGTAGTCCCCAAGACTATCTTGGGCGCAGATGTCTCACCAGCAGCAACAGAAGAAGTAGTAAAGGAGGAGATTTCCAACATCGTAGTAGTAGTCATTTTTGCACAATAATAGTAGACAAGTAGTAGTTAAATAGCCAGTACAGTAATAGAGATCTGTTCTTGAAACATAAACTAAGAGCAGATCAGTAGCAATATGATGATATTTCAGCCGGACACATACCAGATCTGAAAAAACATAAGATGCAGAGTAGTAGGTAGTCACGCCCTCACGTCACGAAGGCGATATCAGCTGAGGGAGAGAACCCTGGCTTTTGTTTTCACAAAAGCTCAAGCCAATCTTTATATTCTCATTTCACAAATGAAACAAGAATAGAAGTAAAATATCTCAACAAAGTGAGATATACACTCTTCCTCTCATCAGTTCTAGGACTGAATTGTCGAGGGAATAGTCAACACCCACAGCAGCAGCAACGCAACAACTAACGCGACGCGCCGCTTGCGACGACGGCAACAACAAGTGCGCAACAGTGGCGTGCGACAGCGAACAGCGGAGACAGCAGGCGACGACAAGGAGCAGCGGGCAACTAGCAGCGCAGCAGAGCGGCAACGGGCAGTAATAGCAGCAGCCAGAGGTGACCCGTAAAAGAAAACAAAAGAAACGAGCACGCACGCGGAAAAGACGCAGATGAGCAGCACAGCAATGACAAGAAACACAGGTCACAAGGGAAGGCAGAAAACACAAAGCAAAGCGGGAGAGGGAGGCCCGGGGAAGGGGGGGGGAGGGGAGGGGATAAACGGCAGGCGAAGCACGTAAAAAAATAAAATAAACAACCAAAAAAAAAGACTAGTCGAGGCGCCGACCGACTAAGAGTAGCAAAGACAACAACCAACCACGGTTAACCAGGCGTCATGCAGAGCAAGGCAACTGCGTGAGATCCGAACAAAAAGAAGCGAGAGACAGCATAGCAAACAAAAAAAAAGGCCAAAAGGAACAAAACCAGAAAACGGACAACAGGCGCATTACGAATCTAAGTAGGTGGGCATCCAAAACTCTATAAATGGAATTGGTGAGGCGGCAAGTCAGAAGACAAAGGGGACCAAGGCGACGGCTAGGGTTTTGGGATGAGAATTTGTGGCGGCGGCTAGGGTTAGGGTTTCTGGCTCTGATACCATGTAGAAAGAGATCAAAACCCTAATTGTTATTCATTAAGATAATAAGAGAGATATATATAGTCATACAAATAGGGTTAAGGTTAACGGGTCACAGCCCATTAACCCAATACCCAATAGACTTGATTTAACAATTAGAAAGTTATCACTCATGATTACCTTCTTGTTGGTTAAGTTTTCAACTTTTCATGTTGAAAAAAATTACTTTTACAAGTAGATAAAGGTGATTAAATTATGTCATCAGTTATCATGCCAAGTGATTGTGCATCACATTCATATATCATTGGCCCACTCTCCACTTGCATCTAAGTGTTT